AGCTACATAGCAAGAACTCAACTCTACAGAAAACAAAAAACTTTGCTGGACATGGTGGTGTATGCCTACAGTCTCAGCTACTCAGGAAGCCGAGGTGCGAGGCTCGCCAGACCCCAGGAGTTTGAGGCTGCAGTGAACCGTGATCGTACCACTACACTCCAGCCTGGGTGACAGAGTGAGACCCAGAATGAAAAAAAAAAAAATTTTAAAAGGAACATAGGGGAAAGAACATTGCAGGTGGAGGAAGAAGGGCTGAAGCAAAGGCCCCCCAGGTGAGTATGTACCTGGCAGCTTTGAGAAACAAGAATGAGGATAATAGGTCTGGAGAGCTGAGAGTCAGGGACAGCAGATGAAGTCAGCGGGATGGAATGGGGTGGGAAATCAAGCAGGTCAAGGCAGGGATTTGGGCTTTCACCTAGAAAAGCGGCAGATACCCGGGAGAGCTCTGAACACAGGCGCAGGGTGAGCTGACCTTTGTTTCTGCAGGATTACTGGCTGCTGTGTTGAAAACAGACTTTCAGGACATGAGGGGCCTCCAGGACAGTTAGGGAGCTACTGCAAGAATCAGGCCAGAGACGACAGTGGCCTGTACTCAAAGGATGCCATGAGTGTGCTGAGACGCGGCAGAATTCTGGTTCATGTTGAAGAGAGAAAACGTGGGATCTGCTAACGGATCACACATGGGGTGTGAATGAGACAGTCAGGACCGACGCAGGGTTTCCAACCTGAGCAAAGGAAAAGGAGTGGCCATCTACCAAGATGGGGTGCAGCAGGGGCTGGCAACCTGGGGCCCTATCCAGGCCACTTCCTGTTTTTGTGCAGCTGGGAGTCAAGACTAGCTTTTACGTTTGTTCAAGATTTGTAAAAAGTAAATAAATAAATAAAAACAAAAAGAATATGCAGCAAAAATTGGATGTAGCACTCCAAGCCAAAAATGTTTACAATCTCTTTAAATTGGATGTAGCGCTCCAAGCCGAAAATGTTTACAATCTCTTTACAAAGCTTGGTGACCCAGGGGCCACAGGAGACGAGGTCTGGGGAGGAAGACCAGGAGCACAGTGTTGAGCATGCCAAGCTTGAGGGCCATGTAGACATGCAAGCGCAGACGCTGAGCAGGCAGCTACAGATGCCATGCCTAGGCTTGGGGACAAGAAGAGGGCTGGTCGTACGAGCTCAGAAGTCTGCAATCTAAATGGTCCTAAGACTGGAGGGATCACCTAGAGTGTGGAAATAGGAAAAAAAGCATCCATGGGCTGAGCCCTGTGACCTCCAACATGTAGACCAGAGACGGTTCCTCCATTTTACTAATGACAAAACTCAGGCTCAGAGAAGTAATCTGACTGAAGTCTACTAGGACTGGTAGACAGCTTCTCACCCAGGTCCCTCTAGTTATACCTATTCCACACAGCTTCTCTAATGGAAGAGAAATGAAACCGATAATTCCAGGCAGGTTTTAAAGCAATCTTTGCTTCTCAGTAAAAAGGTAAATTCTATGGTTGAAGGTTGAGCTCATCATCAAGGCAACCAAGTGCTTGGTATAAGCACCGTTTCCCAGTGAATTCAAAGCATGTTACAGACATTGTCAAATGGCTCACAAGGGCATTCCTAGGGATGGAGAGGAAAATATTTTTCATGACCTGACTGAACAATTCCAAAGTTTTTGCAAAGGAATAATAATTAAATGAGAAAAACTAAGCAATGTTCATTTAAAAAATAAAAAAGAGAAAACAGGATAATATATGTGTGTATGCCAGTAATATTACAGTTATTAAAACCGTAGCTTGAAAAACAATGCACTAGAACTAAAATCACTGAAATAGACCAAAATCTCAGGATCAGACCAAATATCTTAGGAAATTCTGGCACTGCAAATAAAGTTGAAGGGACTGGTTTCTCCATAAATATGCTGAGTCTGGATAGAGTTGGAGGCCATCATACTAACTGACCTATCACAGCAACAAAGAACTGAATACGGCATTTTCTCACTCATAAGTGGGACCTGAACAACAGTCCCATGAGTACAAGGGAGGAATTGACAGTCACTGGGCACGGCTAGGGGAGGGAGGAAAGGAGGAAGGAGGGGGACATGTGTCAACACAAAGGGTACCAGGTCTGCTACCAGGGGGAGTAAGACCCAGCTGGAAGCCCAAACGTCACCTGCTCGCAGTCTACTAATGTAGCTAACCCTCACTTGTTCCCTACATCTTTATAACAATATATATACACATAAACATATAACAGTATATATAATATATATATTTTGAGTCAATTGATAACTTCTTAAACAAAGATTCCTATCACATCCCATATGCCAAAATAAATCTTGAGAATATTAAATTTCATAAATTTATGAAACCATAAAATAAAACTTGAAGAAAAAGTAAAATAATTTTCCCCCAAATGGGGAAGGTTTCACTTAACATAGAGAAATCACAGAGGATAAGACATAAAGGAAAATGAGTAAAGTTATTTAACTTTGTATACAAAAAGATATCATTCACAAAAATGATACCACAAACGAAAATGATGACAAAGTATTCAGATACAAAGAGCGCTAAGAAAACGAAAAGATAAACTATGGGCACTACAAAAATGAGTAAGATATGTAAACACACTTTTTTCAAAGTTTATATAATAAACATGTTATGGGAGAAGATCAAAAGCTTTTTAAAAAATTAAAAAGGAAAAGAATAGCCTGGCCTGATGAAAGCTACATCACAGATCAGCAGTGGCACTGGAGCAACAGGGCTACGAGTCCGCATTCTACTTGCCACGCCAGCCTCTGAGAAAACATGAGATGATGGTGTCAAAGGAGAAACAAAATGATGGAACAGAGTAGGGGGATAGGTGATCATCCCAGATTTAGAGAGGATAAAGCTCTGTGGACACCTCCTATTTCCATGCCTTCAGCCCTCCTTTACCCTTCCCTCCTAGAATCACCGAGCATTGGTGCTAAAAGAAACCCAAGAAACGTACGTATCTCATCTCCTTACTGTGCAGTGCCTAAGGAGTGAAGGAAGCTGGCCCACTGGGGCAGGCTATGGTACCAGTGGGTGGCCTTCCCATTTCATCTGATGGCCGATGTCCTTCTTCCCAGACAGATGAATGTTGAAAAATTAGACATGACTTTACAAAGACCTCATCCTCTCAAAAACGTCAGGAAAAATAAAATAAAATAAAGAGAAACAATGCATCTTTTCAGTGTTTTGTTGAAAAAAAAATACTTCCTAATGCTTGCAAAGCCACACTGTTTTAGGAAAGTTGCGCTATGGCTTCGACCACAAGTACAGCTGTGCCCGTCTGAATTTCCTTTCCTGACGAACCTAAAGAACCACATGCACTAGCAGGCAGAATAGGCTGAGTGTCACCATGGTCCCTTGACACTGCCACTCACACCGACCCCATCCGTCCACAGCTGACATGGCCTGGTCCAGGGTCTGCCTAATCAAATAGCTTTCCATCTGCTTCAAAGCCTTTCAGCACAGAACCCAGATCACAGAACCAAGCATGAGGCAGATGACAGCATCTTCCGGTCCTGCCACCATGGGCTAATGGATACTCCAGATTTCCCTGGCTCTGGGGACAGCTTATCTTCATTACTGGAAGATCTCAGTGAATGGTGTGCTATCATGTCAAGAAATCAATTCTTGCATAGATGTTCAGGCAGCTGAGGGGTCAGTAAGACTTACTGTTTTTGGAGATGTAGGATTCATTAAAAACTATATGACTTTAATGCTTTCATTATTCAAGTTTGAATGCCTTACTGTTGTGTCTTTAATTTTGATTATGGATGTTTTTTAAGAGAGCACTGCTTATGTTTTAATAGTTATGGCTCTGGTTCTTTTTCAGCCTTAGGCAAACCTTCATCCTTAATTCTGATGAGTCCCAGTCAAGCACTCAGCCTTTCCACTGAGTCCCTCAAGCTCAACCAAATTCTTGCTGTGGTTCCAACCAGTGCACACACATGACTGATTCTCAGAACATTTTTAAAATAAAGTTATGACTTAGTAACTATATCATCCTGTAAGTTCCAAAGTTAAAAATCACTGTTGAACTAACTTGGATTTTTAGAGTGAAGTGCACGTTTGATATATAATTGTGCCAAAAGAACAAGATATGTATGAATAAAGTTTATTAATCTTGTCACATGGAGTAGTCACAAGTCCCTTACACAATTGGTCTAAGTAAAATCAACATTTTCAAAGGCCTTTTATGATCTAGCTGACTGTCTTCCTAGAACAAATCTTCTTCTTTCCCTCTATCCAACCCATGCCAGAGAGACTGTGCCCAGTGCCCGGCGTGCTCCCTGCCCACTGCGCTACCAGCCCACCTCAACTTACACCTTCCTTCCAGGATTCCTGAGCTCCCTTCCATCACAACACTGACCTCGACCATGACTTTCCCACTCCTCTGGCCTCCCTTCTAGATTATGAACTCCTTGAAGGCAGGAACTGGTTCTTACTGACCTGGTATCCCTAAAACCTACCTTCGCAGGTGGCACATGTAAGGACTCATTAAGGGTTCTTAATAAATGAATGAAGTTAGAAACTCACTGAGATAGACTTTAGGTCAGATTTGTCCAAATATTGGTTTTACGTTAGACTGAACCCCATTGTGGACAGAACACAGGAAGGCTGAGGTGGCTTGGATGATAAGAGTATCCACATGAAATGAGGCCAGGGGTGATCAAAGTTGCCCCTCAAGACTCAGGCTCCAGGCAGGGAGGGAGGACCGAAGAGGATTGAAACTTCCAGAACTAAGGATCAAGGCTTCCTGAGGATGCTCATTCCCTGAAGCAACTTCCCTCTCCACATTACACACACACACACACACACACACACACACACACACACACACACACACACAGTGCTCCCTCTCAGGAAGCTGATCTGATCCCTCTCAGGAAGCTGATCTCCCGCCTCTGAGCACGTCAACAGCTCCTGCTGGACTTCGAACCACGCACAGGGAACAGCAAGCTTGCTTTGGAGTCATTTACTCACCATCAGCAGTGTGAAGGAGCTTGTGACTTTTCAATGTTCCTTTGGATTTGAACTTCTTGCCACACATGTCACATAGGTGGGTTTTCTCTGTGCTGTGACGATTCATGTGCGCCTTGAGGTTACTCTTGCTACGTGTTGCGTACTCACACAAAGAACATTTGAAGGGTTTCACACCTATAGGCAGGAAAAATGTATATATCCATACATACATATATCTACATACATGTGTGCACGTGTGTATGTGAATCCAAAGGAATATATATATGCACTTTTTATACATATATGAACTTTATATATATATATATATAAACTTTGTATATATTATATATGAACTCTCTCTCTCTCTCTCTCTCTCTCTCTCTCTCTCTCTCTATATATATATATATATATATGAATGTAGAAAACATCTCTTATATCTGTTTTAAATAAAGCAGTGCACTTACTGGTGCCTAGCATGCCACACACGTCTCACGCTGGGCCCTTCCCCAGCCTGTGCCCTGGGAAAGATCCTCCCCTCCCAAGATGCCCCTTCTCCTTGAGTCTGCCAGTGCCTCTACCCTGCAGCCTCCTCTGACCTTGTCCCTCATGGACAAGATTTCCCCACCTCCCCATCAATGTACCCAAATCCTGGACCTCCCTCCCAGTTAGCAGGCTTCTGTCCATTACACTGAGTCTTTCTCACTTGTCTCTCTCCACAGTCTGGGAACTCCTTTAGGACAGACAGACCTTGAGTAACTTTCACTGTGATGTTCAGTTGCTGAGTTAAATGGAACAAAATTAAAGGCACCAAGGGTCTTTGCAAACATCAATGGAATCAGACACCAGGACCAGATGTGGATGCATGTTTACCTCATTAAAAAAAACAAAGCTGGTCCGGGCGTGTTGGCTCACGCCTGTATCCTAGCACTTTGGGAGGCGGGAGGATTGCCTGTGCCCAGGAGTTCAAGCCCAGCTGGACAACACAGTGAGACCTTATCTCTACAAAAAAAAATTTTTTTAAACTTAGCCAGGTGTGGTGACTCATGCCTGTAGTCTAGTTACTAAGAAGGTTGAAGCAGAAGGATCACTTGAGTCCAGGAAGTTGAGACTGTGGTGAGCTGTGATCATGCTACTGCACTCCAGCCTGGGAGGAGTGAGACCCTGACTCAAAACAAACAACAATAAACAAAACCACAGCTGTGCCACACCAGTGATTGTTGGGCTTATGACCCAGAGTGTAGGGGCATCTTGGCACATTCCTTCACTCAGCAAGTGTCTACTGAGGACCTACTTTTATACTAAGCACTGAGGGTTAATCTTGAAACTGAGAAGAATTGGTCCCAGCCTTCACCATCAAGTGGGAGAAGGAGACAAGTAAACGCACCATTACAAATAGAGTGACATGCCATGGTGCTTGTGGGGGTCCCCTGAGCATGAACAAGGGGTATAGTGTTGGGAGCCAACATCTATAGCTACATGGCTGAGGCCTGTAAAGGCCCATCTGGAAGATCGCTTCTGACATAGGATATCAGTTATACCTATAATATTGGCGTGTGATTAGTGACCAGTGTGCATACATGGCAGTAAAACTTATAAGTAAATCTCAATACACCTGATGGAAAGTGCATAGCAGAATTATTTCTCTCTGTCTTTCTAAGTTTTACTTCTTTCTAGATATTTTTTAACTTCTATTTCCTGGTAGACTGGGTAGTCCGCTCTTGTTCCCGAAAGCTGTTTCCCCTAGGGCTAAGATTAGAAACTAAATTACCATGATAGTTTTGTTGCCCTGCCCCTAGCCAGGTAGAACGTTTTCTTTTGTTTCGTTAATTACCGAAACTCTGTCTGCTTCAGCCCATGGCCGCCATCTTGGAAACCCTGCATTTCCTTGTTCAAGAGTGTGACAGCTACTATTTGATTTTTAGAGTAGACTTGTTGAGATAAAATATATACATATACACTCATAGTTGCGTAAATCTACGCTTGCTGTTTTGTTTCCTTTTGCTACATTATTCAAGTGTAATAGTTACTATACGATTTATAAAAGAATTAATGATGAGGTATTAGCTTAATAGGATATAGCATAGTATTAAAGTCCCAATAACTAGATCATATAAAAATTAAAGTTTAGACATATGAAACATATGAATTATAGTAAAGTTTTGTAGTTTAAGAATAAGTTTTAGCTGAGTTATAAGGCATTACGTTAAATCGTAATAGGATAATAGTATAACTGACAGTTAAGTCATTTAACTAAACTTATAGATTATAGTATAGTGTTAAGTTGATAATATTAATCGTTAAAAATATTGGGAATCAGTGAACTTGGATTGAACTAGAGTTAACTCAGGAAAGTTTTTTGTATTAATCAGGGTATAGAGCAAAGAGTATAATATGAATGATTCATTGAACATTATGGAAAACACTTTGAACGATTTGTATTGAAATTGTGCACCTGTGACCTTAATGTAAGAACGGCAGGCATCATGGAATTCGAATTGTTTGCTTGGAAATTGCAGATCTCGTGGTGGTCTTGTGATGCATAGTTTGTAAAGCACGAAACTTGTACGCCCCCAGTGAGTGATTATCACATTGCTGGAGGGTATAGAAAATGGTATATAAGTTGGAAGGAGTCCGAATAAAATTTGGCTCCAGTCCTGATCAGACTGTTCCCAGAAGAACTGCCTCCGAGTAGTCTCTTCTCGCTGTCCAGATTCTCTGGTGCGGCTCCTAACCCACCCTTGGTCAGTGCTGGTCACCGACAGTATAGAGATAATTCTGAGTAAACCAAACATGTTCGCCCATTATCTTCACTACCTACGTAGTGTTTAGGGCTATGGAGTATTTAGAACTGCTATAGTGAACAGACCCAAGTCCACTACCTGACCATCATGGAACCTTGACCAAAGTTATAGGTACGCTGAGTGACAAATGTCATGCATATGCAAAAAGTCTACTTACTAGGACTGCAGCCATTACCTGTGTTTTATCTGTTTCTTTTCTTTTTTATTTTATTTGTTTATTGGGGACTTTTTAAAAATTGTCTTTCCTGTCCTATGTTTTATTTTGAGAGTAAACAGAGACAAGGGATATTTATGGTATGAGAATCAATTCCAAAGAACCTCAATACAGCACGTGTCCAGATATGGTCTTCTCCTTTGTGATTTCATAATTATAGAGGAGCAGAAATATACAGAATACCAGGACACTCCCACAAAAGCAGCAGCTTTTGGCTTTCTAAATCTTTATCAGAATTCTGAAGTAGCTTGAAATATTAGATGATTTTCAAGGTGAAATGCAACATGAATACATCATCACAAGTATTTGCTTAACACAACAGCATCAGCCCTGTATTAAGTGCACTAAGCCTTCTACTGAGGGTTTTATACACATTATCCCATTGGTCCTTGCAATGACTCCCAAAGTAGTTCATATTATAGATAAGCAAACTGGGGTTCAGAAAGTTAAAGTTATTTGTCCCATCACACGTGACGAGGGCGGGATTTGGACTCAGCTCTCTCTCTTACTTCTTGTCCTGTGAGTAGGATTACATAGTCTGATGCCTTTATAAATCCGTGGTCCCCAGCCTCTCCTGGGCTCTCTCTGTGCCTCCACCAGGCTTAGTTCCCCTGCTGACTCCCATGAGTGCCACTTCAAACCAAACCTGTCCTCCAAGTACTCTTTGCTAAGAAAATTGTGAACAACAGCTATCATGCCCTAAATTCATGACAAACAAACAACACATGTATATATGTACCTGCAGCTTCCCCAGCCCCCGCCGCCTTCCCACCACTCCTAGACAAAAGGTGTCTCCTCCTGATGCAAGTCAGTGGAGAAGTGAAATCAGACAGCATGAGTCCAAATCCCAGTTCCACCGCTTGTTAGCTGTGTGACCTTGGGAAAATGACTTAACTTCTCTGAGCCGAGTTTTCCTCATCGGTAAAATGAGAATGATAACAACACCTACCTCTGAGGTTGTTGAGAACATTGAATCTGGTACCATGGGTAAAGCACTGAGCACACTGGTTGGCATCCAGTAAGTGTTCAACATATGCTGGTAAACAAAAAAGTATCTTCCAGCTATGACATTTGATCTCGCCTCCTTCTGCCTTCTCCAGGCTTCTGCTCTACCAGTTATGGTTCTCTTTACTGAACTAGCAGTCTCTCCCGTCTTGAAAGCTCCTTCTCTGGGGCCCATGAAGAGGTCATTCGTGTCTCACAGTGTAGAAAACACTGGCTTCAACCTTCACCCATCCTAGTCTTGTGTTCCTACCTGGAGCACTCCAGGCTCCTAACTGGAAGGCAGGGCCCAGATGCAGAAGTCTCCAGGGACTATTCCTGAGCACCGGTTCCTGCCCTCATCTCCAGGAGGGCCAGATTCTCATCCACAGGGAGAACACCAAGCTGCTGGCCTGCCATGCCCAATAGTTCTTGACTGCCAACCTCCCAGAGTCCTGGAGAGTGGCCCTCCCCCACTACCCTTCGCGGGCAATCACCCCAAAAGTACAGCCTGCACTCTCTCCGGCACCTCATCTCCACTCAGCCCTTCTGCATGCCTTCTCCACTGCGGGAGTGATGACACTTCCCACTGCTGGGATCAGGGGACTCCTTGCTGCCCCCTCCTCCCACCAACCCTCACTCTTCCACAATCCCTGCTGCATGCAGGGCCCTGTGGTGGGTGCTGGAGCACTGGCTTGTGACCAGGGGAGGCGTGGTGATGTGTTTCACTGTGAAGTGCAGCAAGACCTACAAAGAAGTGCACACCTCTACTCACTGCAATTGCAACCAGGCGATGACTGAAATCTCTGATCTCAGCTCGTGATGGACACACCTCAGCATGCTAAAGAAACTCTAACTGAAGAGGTATGGAGCTCTGGTTTCCTCCCCATGCACTCCCCAGATGAAGCATGGAAGCACAAAGTGGAACGGGTGCTCACCTGGAAAGATGCGTACTCACCTTCATGAGCCCAGATATGACGCTGAAGGTCGGAGCCATTCTTCATGAAATAGAAATCACAGTATGGGCACTTCATGGCTCTCTTTCCAATCAGCCCTTTCAGCTGAACCCTCCTCCCTAGAACCTCGGAAATGGTGCTCATGGAGACCTCTAGAAGGAAAGAAGGAGGACAATGAGAGGGAGACAAGGGGCCTGGGTGCGAGTTAGATGGAAATCAACATCACTGCTAAATCTCACTAAGGGGGTGAGTCGAGGTGTGCCCTCATGGGCGTGGGAGATGGGATTCTCACCCGAAAGGTTAAACCTGAATCTAGTCAAGTCTCAGCCCTAAATACCTGTTCACATGAAACACGAAGAATGGAGAAGCAATGTCCCAAGGCAACAGCCACAGACAAATACAGATGGCAACACTGTCTACAAAAAGAGAACCCTGGTCTCCCCCTCAAGTCAATATCATGGATGAAAAGCAGGAGGGAAGTCCTGCAGAACACATGAAAAGTAGGCCGGGCTTGGTGGCTCAGCCCGTAATCCCAACATTTTGGGAGGCCAAGGCAAGGGGACTGCCTGAGGCTGCGAGTTTGAGACCAGTCCAGGCAATCTGGCAAAACCTCATCTCTATAATAAATCAAAAATTAGCCAGGCATGGTAGTGCGTGCCTGTAGTTTCGGCTACTCGGAAGGCTGAGGCAGAAGGAGCGCCTGAGCCCAGCAGGTCGATGCTGGGGTAGCCTTGGGCGTGCCACTACATTCCAGCCTGGGTGATGGAGTGAGACTCCAACTCAAAAAAAAGAAAAGTAAGGGACATCACCACTCAGTGCAGATGCCTGGATCTTGGGTCAAACAAACCAACTGTAAAAAAAAACATCTTGGATCAATTGGGGAAATTTTAAATAGACTAAACAATACTAGGTGGTGATAAAGAATTTGTCAATTCTCTTTGTTTTATTGGTGACATGCTGATGATGCTGAAAACGGTCTTTAATAGCTCTTGGAGAGACAGTCTAAAATTTTTTATGGAAAAATTACCTACTGTCTGAGACGCATTTTAAAATGTTCTAGAAAAAAAATGTCTGTGGGGGTAATTCTGTGAAATGAATCTGACAAAATGTCAATAACTATGGAAGCTGACTTACAGCTAGAGGGGGTTCCTGTAATTGTATACTTTTGCATATGCTTGGGATTTTTCCATATAAAAGTTAAAATAATGACAGAGAATGCGTTATATCTGTTCATGAGCAAAGGACGTCATTTCAGAAGATTCTCTTCCGCTCACATTGGAACACGTGCCACTCAGATCACGAGTTCACATGGGAAGGACAGAGCTGAGCCTTCGGGGACTGTCACAGCCCACGCATCGCCACACAGACAAAGGCCTTAAGGCTCCATCCATGCCCGGACAGAACATGAGTGTTAGTGTTCTTCTGCCACTTCTTTATCTTCTTCCACCTCTTATCATTTACAATCAGTAAGTCAGCTCTGGTATACCAAGGGCAGATACAAAATAAAGAAAAAGAGAAATGAGACATGGACGAAGGGAGAGGTGTAGTTAGTGTTACCCGCTCATACAACACACAGCACCCATGTCGCTCTCTCGGCCTGCCTGATGTGGCACGGGGCGTCTGGAGACAAGTCCTGCAGTCTCAGGGAGCCCTCCCATGGGGGCAGCAGGGGCAGCGACGGGGACTGCCGCACAGCGGTCCACGTGCCATGATGTTGGGAGGGGCGGGGGTGAGGAGTCAGCCCTCAGCTGACAGGGAGCCACGGCAGCCTCCCAGAGTGCAGGGCTTTGAGACTTAAAGAATGAACAGGAAGCAACCAGGCGGGACAGGAGGGAAAATGTCCCAGGTGGCAAGAACAGAAGTGGCCAGGCATGGACACCCAAGTGGCTGGTGCCTCACACATCGGTGTAGCGATGAATGTGAGGAGACCCGTGGTGACGGTCACTTCAACTCACAGAGGCTACCCGGGAGCCCTTATAAGTCACCCCTTATAAGCCACTACTCTCAGTGACACAAACTTACGCCAAAGGCCAGGCTTGAGGAAAGGATCTAAGGCAGACCTGTGCTGTATGTGAACCCTCCACAGGCACTGGAAGTTCCCGCCAAAGGAGGGAGGGGAAGGGGGTCACTGAGACCACAGGGGGTAGGAAAAGAGGAAGACCAAATGAAACAACAACATGAACTAGATAACCGCATAAACTTGCCAACTTCAAAGAAAGATGATTATTTCCCTTGAATTAATCCACGTCTTCATCCCTCTTTATTTTCACACAGCACCGTTGACCTCTGATGCTGCTTTAAAACAAATATAAGCCTTTTAACATGAATCATCCACTCTAAAATGTATAACCTTACCAGGATGGTTGGTCTTGATATGTGACTTTATCAATCGATCTTCTGAAAAAGACTTTTCACACACAGGACAAGAATAACTCCTTTTGTCCTTAACAGAAAGAGAACATAATCAGTTGACTTTTCTTATTTAAATCTAGGCTCCATAGAAAAGTCACCACCACCACCAGCAGCACTGTCAACCACCACAACCGTCATCGTTGCTACCACAGCATCACCGCCAGCACCATCACCATCAACACCAGCACCATCAACCATCACCCCCGTCACCGCCACCATCACCGCCATCACCATCACCATTGTTGCCACCATCACCACCACCACCACCATTTCACCATCGGCCTCATCAAAGCTAAACACGGTGCAGCCTTCTAAGCATATAACACACGCCCCCCCCCCCCCCCCGCCCCGGCTCCCCTGCAGACCTCAAGAGTAAGGGAATGATGTCAGCTCCATTTCAAAAGAAAGAGATGGGGCCTAGCAGGGAGAGTCCTGGGTCGGTGGTAAAGGGTGGGTCTTGGAGTCAAGGTCTCACGTCGACCATGCAGACCAGGGCTTCTCCAGGACCTCACAGCCTTTCACAGCCTCCAGCACTCAGGGCATGGTTTGCGTGGGGTTTCAGGCAAGTTATTTTACTGAGACTTGCGATCATTCATGAAAGACACGCATTGTTCATGCTCATGTTACAGAGTAAGAAGATGAGGCCCCAGGGACAAGCCCAAAGTCTGAGAGGAAGAGACAGCATGGGAACCAGAGTGTACAGATGACCGCCAGGACACCTAATTCCACCCCAAAGGCACCCAGCCGAGGCTGCAGCTAAGGAGTTCACTCTGTGCTGTGGCTAGCTGGACAACTTGGGCAACAGTGTAACATTCTCCATTAGGGAGAAGCTTTTGTGAACCACCAACCTAGGGCTTCACTAGGGCTATCTCTCATAGCTCACTTGAGGGCTATTTCAAATCACTATTTTCCCCAAAGACGGGTGCTAATGGTGGAACTTTGTCCCCCAAAAATTACATGTTAAAGTTCTTACCTCCAATACCTCAGAATGTGATCTTATTTGGAGATAGGGTCTTTATAGACATAACCCAGTTAAAATGAGGTCACTAGTGTGAGACCTCATCCAGTATGACTGGTGTACTTATAAAAAGAGGAAACCAGGACACAGACACACACACAGGGAGAATGCCATGTAAGGTTGAAGGCAGAGATCAGAATGATACATTTACAAGCCAAGGAACACCAGAGATTGCCAGCAAGTCACCAGCAGTTAGGGCAGAAGCGTGACACCGATTCTCCCTCCCTCCCAACCCTCAGAAGGAAGCAGCCCTGCTGACACCTTGATTGCTGACTTCTATTTCCACAACTGTGAGACAACAAATATATGCCAGGCATGGTTGTTCATGCCCGTAATCCCAGCACTTTCGGAGGCAGAGGCAAGAGGATCGCCTGAGCCTAGGGGTTTGAGACCAGCCTGGGCAACTTGGCAAGACCTTGTCTCGTTAACTAACCAAAAAAATTAGCTGGGCATGGTAATGCACATCGTGACTCCAGCTACTTGGAAGGCTGAGGCAGAAGGATTGCCTGAGCCCAGCAGGTCAAGACTGCATTGATGTGAGCGTGCCACTGCACTCCAGCCTGGGTGACAGAATGAGGCTGCAACTCAAAAATAAATAAATTTTTTTTAATCTGTTTTTCAAGACACCCAGTATGTGGCACTTTTATTGCCAAGCTTCCCAAGCTCACATCTTCCCCAGAGTACACCCAGAAAAAGGAGACTGTATATTAAGAAACATAACAAAAGCCTCTCTGAACAACTGACCAGTCTGGATGTACTTCCCACCAGATGTCTGGACACCAAGCAAGGTCTGCCAAGCTCATGTGTCTAAGGGGTCTAGACAGCTCTTGAGAAACTGTCCAGATCTTGCTGGCCACTCAATGCTACAGACCCCCATCCAGGCCACATCCCTGGCTTGAGGTTTCTCAGAGTACTCCTGTCAATGTCCTCCTCCACCCTTGGCCTCAGGAAAGATGCCCTGGGCCTGGCGGGCAACCTGGAGGAGGCCTCTGCCACCCTGGCTTCCTCTCAGCATCCTCGTCATCAGGTTGATGGAGGTATTAGAAGGGCTTTGAAGGAGCTTACAGTGCTCTCCCCTGAGCCCTTGCCATTTGATTTTTTTTCTTTTAATCTCTGATAGTCAGAAAGCAATTTATCTCAGAGCTTATCAGGGCCCCTTATTTTTTGATGCCTTTGAAGATTGTCAGAGGACACAGACGGTGGTAAAGGGTACTGGGAGAAGGGGGGACTCTTAGGACTCATTTACTTCTTTTTCAAAACCTCAGTTCCATACCAGAGATGAAAACCCAAACCAACCCGCAAACTTAAAAAGAGCGGTGGTTAAAAGAGTTCCCGGCAGAGGTGGAGAGTGTGGGATCCATGCCGTAATGATAGTGAAAGAGCCCAGCCTTCGAAGTCTGTTTGCTCTGATGGAACTGGCCTTCAAAGCCACCAGGACCCTCTGAAGGAAGGGAGGCATTGGCATGGAGCTGCAGCCAGAAGCTGGGGTGCAGGACCAGCTCCAAGCTGAGGCTCAGAGCCCAGTTCTCCACTGCAGCAGAATCTCACCTGGTCTATAGGCCTCAATGGCAGAAGCTGTGACCCCAAAAGAAATGGGATTGTTCCCAAGTGTGGGACTAGCACTAGGTAGAAAAATGTCAAATCTAATCCCCACCACCACCAAGTGTAACCATTGCATAAATGCACCTATAAAATACCTGACATCTAATTTAAAAAGCAAAGGTGGGTGATTCCACTCTAAACTGTTTCTTAGGAAGAAAGGCCACAGTTATGGCATCACATTCATCCCTCAGATGTGACAAGGCCCCTTTTATGTGCCGGGTCCTGTGCTGAGGAGAAGATGTGAGATGTCCAGGGACTCACAAGGTCATCAAGAAAGAGCCATGCTAACACACAGAGTGTGTCCAGCAGTGAGGATAGATGAAGACAGCACAGCATAGCTCAGGAAAGGCCAGAAACGTGCTTGATTTGGGATTTCAACTCAAGAGCTTTCCTTGCCACTGAAAACAGTTCTGTTCGGCCATGCCTTTCCCCTTCGATTCAGAATTTCGGTTATTGCTAAAATGAGGACATCCTATACACAAGAAGTTCCAGTAGCCTGAAGTCTCCCATACAATGGACAAGATGCTCACGTAGAACAAAACAGAAACAAACTTGCTTTGTGATAAGTATGAACATATCATACTCTTGTAGCTCTTGGAAAGAAAAAAATGTCACATTCAATTATTTTAGTTAAATAACATTTCCTCTACTAAAAAAAACAAAAACAATAAAAAGAACACTGACTTGGTGTACCCATTTATTTCCAGAAAGTTATTGGAGGCAGCTTTCTCTACTTTTTCTGTGCTTTGTTAGCAATATATTATTTCAGCTTATTTACAGCAAGTATATACAAGGCTTTTTTTTTTTCAAATATCTATACCTTTATAGCCAAAAAGGGCTATACACCTCTCAGACACAGGGGCCAAGCATTTCAAACATCCGTCGAAAGACAATCAGACTCTGGATGGATGCACACCAGCAACCACTATTACTATTCTTCTTCCTTCTTCTAAGAAGGAGGAGAAGGATGGGCAACTGTGGACAGGCCTCCTTCTATGTACCTGAGGTCATGCTGTGTCTCTTACCAACACTGTCTCACTAAATTCCCACAGCAACCCTGGAGGTGGGGACTGCTGGTCCCATGTCTAGGGTAAGAGATCAGAGAGGTTAGGGTGTGGAGTCACACCACTTCTAAGTCTTAGAGTCAGTGTGATACTAAACGTGTCAACTCCCAAGCTTGGGCTGTAACTGCTACAATACTCTTAGCATCAGGTATCTTTGGGGGCTTCTGAGAAGAAACACAAGCCAAAAATAAATGGACAAAACTGGCGTATCATAAAGTTCACGTATGCTCCTTTTCCTACTGTTCCACACTTTTGTGTCAGAAGGAACTTCTTTAAATCAAAAATTATCAGATGCCACCTCAAACTTTGGTAGAGATAAGAGTCCAGGAATCTCATTTATAACAATAACCCCTATGTGATTCTGACTCAGGAGGTCATGAATTATGTCACTTAGGTTAGTGACGTACAGATTTATTTAACAGGACCGACAAGAGATCACCCCACGTGACAGCATCACCCTGCACACATATGCTCACACAGTGACATTGTAAACATTTAAACAATGAAACGAAGATCACAGAAAACAATACTTACCTTTAGTGTGGGAAAATAATGCTGGTAAATTCTATTTTATTTGATTTTTAAGACATGCTAGTTGTGACTCACTGAATTGATTTCACAGCCCTCTAATAGAGTTTTCTTTTTTTGTTTGTTTTGAGCAAATGCTGACCTGGGTGTTCTGTACATATTTTCTAATGCAATCCTCACAACCCTGAGAGACAGGGTAAACCACTTTAGCTCCATTTCTCTACTTTTAGAGATGAGAAAACAGCTCAGAGAGGCTGAGCAATATTCCCAAAATGGCAGAGGTAGATATGGGGTCTGAACCAACGCAGGTCAGAGCCTAAAGGCCCCTCCCACTCTATTAAAATCGTGTTTTCCTAAGTCTCCCCTTTACAAATCTTGCATAGTGCTGTCAAAAGTGGATTTTCTCCAGTAATGTAACTGATTAACTCCCTTGACTGGGTCCCCATATATCCTTGGTGCCAATACATCCTTGACTATAAGTCGACACCTCTAGCTATTAACGGGAAGAAACTATATCAACTGTACAAATTCCTTCTAATCATTAGGTGTTACTTTTGCTGAGAAATAGTTGTAACAGACACAGGAATGCGCACTTAGCCAAATTATCCTAAAGTCCTAATGCAGTCGGAAGGGACGTGGATATCAGTCCATCTGGGGGGGTGAGGAGGGGGAGACTGCCACTTTAAATTTTCTTAGTTTTTGCTCTGTGTGGGAATCTGTGCTAAAAACAGTGAATGCTGAAACAAATGCATATGGTCAACCAGACTTACAACAAAGTGGGTCCCATCTCCAGGATCACAGGTAAGGAAACCAAGCCTCGCCCTAGTGCAAGGACTCCTCCAGGTCCCATGCATCTCCTCATCATAACAGCACCATGCTCCTGACCCAGCCAGACCCTGCCAGGACTAGAGTCCTCAGATCAACCTCAGAGACATCTGTAAGGCACTTTTGCATCACAAAAGCACATTGGCACTGTCTCACTGGAGCTTTATACCTTCCAGAGTAAGGAGGGCGGTATTATTCATTCCACTTGCAGGTAAGGAAAAGAAAGTGCAGAAAGACCAAGCAGCCTGCACAAGGTCACCGAGTTAGAGTCCTTTCCTGTGACTCCACATTCTCCATTTTATCCACTTCAGGGCAGCAATGATGCTCCCAGTGTCAAGAACAGTGAAGAACAGTTAACACAGCTAACTACTGATGGATAGTGATGAAAAACATGGGTGATTTTGCTTAGACCTCATAACTTTTGAAAACCTTTTTAAGTAAAGGTTAACATTTAACCTCATTAACATTTAATATTTAAACACAAGTAAACGTGCATGCTTTACTCAGCAAGCTTCACAAAGAATTAGACTGAATGCTGTGAACTTAAACACTGTAGCTGAGAGCATCATCTTGGTGAAATTACCAACAAAAATGCATCTTCAAATGTCTGTCAACTAATGAACAGATAAACAAAATGCCATATATCCATACAGTGGAACTTTATCCAGATATAAAAGGGAATACAGTATTCACATTACAGTATTCACCCCATGAGCTAAGTGAAAGAAACCAGTTGCAAAAAACTGTATTACATGTATATTTTATATTCCTTTTATATGAAATGTCCAGAACAGGCAAATCCATAGAGAGAGAGAGTAGACTAGCAGCTGCCCAGAACTTAGTGAGAGGGAAGGAAGAAAAGATAATTGACGAGGACACAGTTTTTTTGTGGGATAATAAGAACGTTCTCCTATGAATTGTGGAGACAGTTGCACAACTCTGTGAATACACTAAAAACCATTGAATCTCACACTATAATGAGCAAATTGTATAAAATGCAAGTTATATCTCAATAAAGCTGTTCCCAAAAAATCCATCTTAACTCTCTTTGCAAATATTGAATTCCATTTAAAACACTTGGCAATAGTACCTTGATTATCAGATCAAAAAGAGTCCAGATTCAGAGGAAACAGAAGGGTTTTCTTACTGTGTCAACATTTTCTTGGTACCCTTGGCTTCATTACAGAAATAATTTACAAGCTCAAAAGGCTAATGTCTAAACTCAATACTGGAACCTGTTTTCAAATGTTATGCTATCTTACTACCTTGGCAGTACAGTCCACCTGCTTCATGGAAAATGTTCAGTAATTTGATATCCTGCTGTAAATACAAAAAGCATCCCCCTTGGTTTGTGCTGTCAACTCTGCAAGCATTTCCTCCCTACCTTTTTCCCTCGTCTGAATCTACTCATCACCCTCAGAACCCTTCTCCTAGGCAGCCCTCAGAACCCCTCCTCCCTGACCATGTCTGGCGCAGTATTTTTGGAGGATGAGAGGACATTCTTTGTTGACTCCATTTACCCATGTTTCCATATTACCATTACTGTTTACTTGTCTAATGCCAACACAACCAAGAGCACCTTGAAGGCAGAGAGCGAGTCTTACTCATACTGGAAATCCAGGGCCCCGCATGCAGAGGACGAGGCTTCCAAGCCACGTTCACCTTTAAAAGCATCTCAATTGGAAGAACAGCAGATATCAGTGATTTAAAAGACTGAAATTAAACTTTTTGTTTGTTTGTTTGTTTGTTTGTTTTGTTTTTTTGAGTTGGCGTCTCACTCAGTCACCCAGACTGGAGTGCAGTGGCCGCTCCCGGCCACCGCAGCCTCGCCTGCTGGACTCCAGCGATCCTTCCGCCTCAGCCTTCCGAGTAGCCGGAATTACAGGCATGCGATACCACGCTGGGCTGATTTTTTTATTTATTGTAGAGATGAGGTCTCGCTGCCCAGGCGGGTCTCGAATCCGTGGGCTTAGGCAATCCACCCACCTCAGCCTCCCAAAGGCGTGGGATTACAGGCTGAGCCACCGAGCCCGGCTGAAATTAAACTTTAACGACTGCTATGAAAACGTGAGAGCTAATGAAAAGCAGGATAACATCCATCTTTCTAAGGTCAACTGAGTCGGGTTCCCTTATTCGGCACAACTGCTCTTCTCTTGCGGTAACTTGCAGGGACGTTTGATTATTGTAGCATAAAGAGCATTTGCCACCTAACAGCACAGGAAGCATCAACACACACCCTGCCCTCAGGGGACAGAGTCTACCTTGACCACGTTCCTTCAGCTGGACAAGTGTCCAACACACCCACCAGGAACGGTGTGGCTAATTTTAATGACCGGCCCCCACAGAGGGCAGTGACATCATCACTTGGGCAGTGATGACAGCGTGGCTTGAATTCTGCCTCTGGCGCTCACCAATGGCAGGACAGTAGGCTAATTACCGAATGACTCTGCGATGCCAGGCTCCTAATCTACCAGTAGAGGAAATAACCCCCAACTCCTAGAGGCGATGTGAGAATTAAGTGAGATGGCACAAGGGGCTGCCCATGGGGTACAAACAGCAGCTGCCATTTTCCTTCTCCCCACCACAGATTTTCCCAGTGCCATCTTAAGCATTCATATTGAAGAGATAAGCCTCTCTGAAGGAAGTTTCACAATAATGGAAGGTTGAAAAGAGAACCCAATTTAAATCCCAGTTTATTTAGAAGAATGAAAACATTGGGCATAGGGGTTTAAAGTCTCAGAGCATGTTCCTGTGCTCCCCTGCTGACCACGCAGCCCAGGGATGCAGCCCGGAGGCAAAGCGTCAGCATCAGGGGAAGAAAGCCACTGAGCTGGACCATGGATCCCTCACACACACACACACAACAGGCAAGCAGGACTTGCGTATGCAAGAACACAGGCAGTCCTAGGCTGCAAAGCTCATGGACAGCTTCCTGGTTCTTGTCAGCTTTCTAGCCTATGTTTCAAAACCTCCAAATCCAGACCAGCAAGTTGCCAAATGAGAAGTAGAACAAGTAATAAGTATAATTAATAGTCAATAGCACAGAGCGCTAACTCCGTGCCAGGCACTATTCTGAGACACTCATGTGCACTCCCTCCAAGTCATCCTCACCTGAGGATGGGTAAACCGAGGCATGGAGCAGTCCTATAGCTTATCCTAAGGCAAAATATGTGGTAAATGGAGGAGTCGGGGATAAAAACCAGCATGTGCTTCCCAGTCTTAACCGTGACACTCACTCTGAGGCTTCTTCCAAGAACCTGTTCTCATGTGAGCTTCACTCCCTCCTGACATCATGAGTTTCTAGCAAAGTTACCCTAATGAATCCTGCCACCTCAGTGTTCCCTGACCTGAGAGAGTACTAGAAGCAGTGCCAACTTAACAGCAAGAGTTACAGACCACACGCCTTCATTCCCTACTCGGGGAAAGAGAGAGAAACAAGGAGGGAGAAGTGCCAAGTGACATGCAGTAGCTGGCACACAGTCAACCATATGACAAGTACTGCCCCACTTCTTGAGAGCATTCCATTTTAACCTCCCAATGACCACAGATCTAGATACATAAACAAAGACATGTGCACACACATATGTGTGTATACATGTGTGCAGAAACGTGTCTGAATGTAGGTGTGTACAACAAATACAGGTGTATAAACATGTGTACATATGCGTCTGTGTATATATTTGTGTATGTGTGTGCATGTATATAAGATACTTTTTTAAAATATATATTTTATACAGAAAGTTATTTCATACAGGACTCAGAAAGAACAAGTGATTTACCCAAGGTCACGGGGCCTGTGAGAGTGCTGGAGATAGTGTTTGAATCCAGGCATCTCACCCCAAAGCCCGTGCTCTAACTTACTCACTGCACCCAAACCCCCTGACTTTACCCTTGGTGACAAACTGCTAGGGTGTTTGTGGTTTTTGTGTCAGAAACCATGGTGGCACATCAAATTTCTAGAGCCTCATTTTGTGTGCCTGTAGTATAAAAAAGGCAGGCAATTAAAACCGAACCACACCTGGGGCCAGATGGGCCTCCTTTATAATTTAATGAAGTCCCAAATCACTCTCAGGTGTCAGCCTCTTGAGTTTAGATTAGAATTTGCAGAAATAAACATTCATTCATTGTGTTACAAGATCGCCCACCAAAGGACTAAACAAATTTACAATCATGAATATTAACAACACCTTGAATTAACATATCATTTTTAAAAAAATAATAAAAGTGCTTCACCAGCACTTTTCCAATAAATAAAACAATTCCATGACAACAGTCAACATTTACTGTGCTCTTACTAGCAACCATATACTGTTCCTAGCACTGCCTGGGCATTATCTCATGCCACCTCTCGACGACCTTCAGAAGATTCTATTATTGTTACCCCTGTTATTAATTACTCTTTAAAATGTCATTTTAGAAGCCCTGGCTTTATTTCCACTCTGTAGCTTGTTCCTCTGCAGGCTTTCTCTGATGCCGAAAAATGTGCGCAGAAAACAATCTGTTCAATCTAATCTCTTTTTTCAACATACTAGAGGCTGTTGCTGGAACAGAAAGACAGCAAAGTGGAAAATGGCATGAGGTGAAGGCCCTCTCTAAGCATTCAGGGCTGGGCACTCACACAGGGGTGACCAGCAGCAGAGACACTGACATATGCATAAATCTGAGAAAGCAACGAGCACCCAGGGGGTGCCGCTCGGGCTTGCTACTTACCAGCGCTGTGTGAACTTTAAGATGTGCCTGGAGTTTATATTTATCTGGAGTCGAGTAGTCACAGCCGTCAGTGGGACACTTCAGCAAGATGTTACTGTGTTTCTGAATTACATGGCGTTTAAGGCAGTTTTTGGTGATGGAAGAATAATGACACTGGGAGCAATAATACAGATGTTCCCGGGTGTGGGTGCGGACATGCATATCAAAATGCACTTGGTACCAAAAAAGTTTGCCTAAAAAAATATTTTCACATGAGAACAAGGAAGTTTCTTTTATACTAAATCTGAGTTTTTCTAAACTATTATTTTCTCGTATGATTATTTCTCTCCCTCTCGTGTTTACCTGGGTCACCCTTCACACTTCCCACCACATTTCTGTTGGGAAACTACTTTGCAAAGGTGGGAGGTTGCAAACATCAAGGGTGCTATGATTTTGCATGATGTCAGGGCTACGAGAGGCGGGAACGAATGTTTATTGAGGACCAGGTATGGTGCCAGATACTATGACACGCATGCACATATCAAAGAATCTCTAAACTCTCCTGGCACTGTGGGGACACCAGGTCCAGAGATGAACTGGTGTTCCCTGTACCACCAGCTCCCCGGGCAGCCTAGAAGCCGCGCTTAGACTGTGAGCTGGAGGGTGCTATTTGGAGCCTCAATACAGAGAGCTGCGGCCACGTTTGTAACCTCTTTCAGCTCATCCAGGACACAGTCACAACTTACAGCTCAACTTTAAACTCGTCACGTGCTTAGAATTCTGGTAGAGGTCGTGGAGTGACACTCAGTATGCACACCTGACCAGGCCAACATGGCCAATGTGCGGTTATCCCGGTTGCCTCCATAAGACTCCAAGCACTAACTGCCACGTGGGGAGGGTCACCCGTTCCTAGCTACAACAGAGGAGGGTGGCTCATTTGGAAAGCGTTCTTTGCAAAGAGACATGAGCTCAACTCAAACACGAGGTGACCACGGTGTGAGGGGATGGATGGGGCTGCAGGCCCGGTGCGGCCTTTTCTTACCACAGTATTCACACTCTAGGTCTCCGTACACCTTCCGGATCCTCTCACATAAGCCGGTGTTCATCTGTTTCTTCTGTAAACTGTCCAGGACCTTCATGAATGCAGTGATGCCAGGCCGGTGCTCCAGGGCAGGTTTGCAAGAGTCAGGCTGGTGTGTGACGATGTCACCACCACTGGCTACTGGAGGAAGGAGGTCTGAGGCCTCAGCTGGGTCTGACCTGAGACACCTGCTGGGATCTGGGTCACTGGCTGGAAGGGCAGTCTCTTTCTGCCCTTCCCGTGGGGAGCTCTCGGCACCCTGGCTCCCCTGGCTTGGTGCAGTGCTTTGGGCCTTGGGCAGCAATAGCGTGATTACGTCCCCTTGAGTCTGGACTGAAGCCCCTTGCTGGGTGTCCGAGGGCTTCTCAGGAGCGGCGTGAGCCTCCGTGGAGGAGCTATCGTTTTTCAACAAAAAGTCATCCGAAACCACTGCCTGAGAATGCAGTTCTGAGGAGACCACAGTGGTTTCTAACTCGCAGGGTGGCAGGGCTGCACTTTCAGCCTGGGGGGAGGCCAGGGGCACAGGTGGGGCAGGCAGTTCCCCAGGGGCCTCCAACTCCTTCCGTCCCTTCTCAGGCTGGGCGTCCCTGGGGCCGACCTCCTCCTTGAGTGCGTTTGCTTCCTGGAACGCAAACTCCTCTTCCGCCAGCTGCAGCTGGTCCCCCAGGGCTTCTTGCTGGATGTCCCCGCCAGGCTCCAGGAGGCAGAAGCTCTGGTTGATGGAGCTGGTGAAGACCAAGGTCTCCTGGGCAGCCCCATGTGCCTCCTTGATGTGGGAGCGCAGCCTGATGGAGCTGACGAACTTCTTGAGGCATATGGCACAGACGTACACGAAGGGGTGCTTCCTTACGTGTAGCTCCAGCGCCTGGTACTTGGTGGCCCCGTGGCCGCAGAGCTCGCAAGCAAAGGGCCACTTGTCGCCATGGACCAGCATGTGGCGGTCGCGGTCCAGCTCGTTCTTGAACTTGCGCTCGCAGATGTGGCAGTCGTAGAGCAGCTGCCGCTTGCCCTCCCTGGTCATCAGGCAGAGCTCGTCCAAGGCCTCCTGGACCTTCTTGTCCTGTGGGTCGTGTGCATCGCGGATGTGCTTGATGAGGTTCTTGACGTCCGAGTACTTCTTCTTGCAGAAGCGGCAGTGCTGCTTGATCTTCTTGTGCACCCGCTCGATGTGCACCTTGAGATGGCCCTTGCTCAGGCACGTGAACGAGCAGTAGTCGCAGGCGAACTTCTCGCCGGTGTGCTTGCGCAAGTGTACGTTGAGGTTGGCCTTGATGGCGCTGGCGTAGCTGCACTGGGGGCACTTGTATGGCTTCTCGTTGGTGTGAATCCTCAGGTGGGCCTGCAGTGAGTGCTTGAACTTGAAGACTTTGTTGCAGTATTCACACGTGAAGATTTTGAGCTGAGTGGGACCCAGCCTAGAAACAGATGACAGCAGGGTTACATTTAAAGACCTGGAACCTTCCTGGTGAACTCTAAATCATTTTTAGGAGCCAAACACCAAAGGCTGAAAAGCAAACTGAATGGGACAGAGGATGGATGGATGCATTCATCCACCCAACCAAAGGGACTAGAGGATAAGTGTGGGCCATCAGGAGCTCAGACTTGGGGACAGAGGACAGACAGGTCAGCAGACGGTTGCGTTTGACAGGGATGTGCTCAGGGCAAAAAAGAAAAAGAGACCTCTAACCTGGATTAAAGTAGCTGAGAAAAACTTGTCAAAGAGGAAGTGTCTGTCTGGGTTGAGGCTTGAAGGATAAGAAAGAAGGAGGTAGGGTAAGGAGGGAAGGGGGGTGTGTCATCCATAACACATACAATAATAACCGGCTGTGTTCCATTCTGATCTGTGTGGATTCTGGGATATTTTAATGAGACAAATCCTGATGGAATAAATTCTGTCTGCTGCACAAGACTAGAGACAACCAGCTTCTCAATAGCTTAGATAATTCAGACATGCCAATTCATTCAGCCAGCTGGTGGGGGTCACCCTCATTCCCTTTCTGTAAGTTTCCATGTGAGGGCCACCCATTGGTAAAAGCTCCCTGGCCTGCCTGAACAACCTCACTTCTTCCCAAGAAACGAGGATGGCCGTGTCTGCTTGATGACTTTGGAACAGAACCTAGAAGTCATGCACTGGGCTCTGCCTCTCCCTCTCTGGTGAGGACATGCTGCCTATGGTGAGTTCAAGATACAGCAGGTGCTTCGTCGACTGGGCATCTCTGAGCCTGGCCAGGAGCGGTCCAGGACTGCAGGAAGGAAAGGCAGGCTGTCCAACTCCGCAGGACAGTGACAGAGGCTCAGTATTGACTTGCACCAAATCCCTCTCTCCTACAGCGCTGGCAGTAACAGAGCTGATGTGGGAATCTCCATCTTCTTCTTCCCTATCATGATTGGTTTAGAACTCAAATGGGGAAAATTAGATTATTATTATTAATGTCATACACCACTGGTTCGTAAATGATTGCCACTTGTTAGCACCTGCCAGTGGGTTTCAGGCACTATGTCAGAGTTTGTATATGTAGTAGAGAATGAAAGCATGGTTGGTCTCATGAATCCTGTCTTTTTCAATATGGCAATATGTATGCTGAATGAGCAATAATAATAGCTAACAATTATTGAGTATATATAATATGACAAATTCTATGCTAAGTATTTAATCTCAACCCTATTATGATAGCCATTCTACACATGAGAAAACTGAGTATTTGCCCAACACCATACAATTAGGAACTAATAAAGCCAAGATTTAAAACCAGGCAGGCTGTCTGACTCTAGAGCCGCACATTCATCTCTATCCTCTATCCTGCCTGAAAACACTGAGGCACAGCAACTCACTGCCCAAGAGACCACGCCACAGAGAAGGCTCCCTGGATGGGGCTTCCATGGCTGCTGAAATAGTCGAGTCTTGTTTCTGAGATCAGTAAATGATAGTCACCAAAGTACTACAACACACATCGGGGACAGGAATTGGCACATGGGACCAAAGAAGCAAGTGACGTCCAGGTTATCCAAGAAGGACCTTAGACACTTTAATCATCACGTAGTGCTATTCATTAGATACCACTCAGCTGTACCCACTGAAAGTGTAAAGCCTATATTTATGAAACTATCCAAACAACTACATCTGATCAGCACAGGTTGCCTTGTCTTTATATTAAAAATATTTAAATGGATTACGGTCCATAAATGCCAGAGGGTACAATTTACAGGATGTAATTAAAAGACTCAAATTTGAAAGTTACTAGTATGTCTGCATGCTGAGCCCAAGGCTAATTTAAGGAAAGTAATGTGGATCTTTCTCATGTGACAAAGATATCTAGAAGGTGGTACATTTTACTGGTAAGAATTCAGAAAGAACACTGAATTCTTAACATTATTAAATAAACAAACCGTAGTATTTCCTCCTCTATAGTAAGACCCAAGTAGTCTTAGGAGAATCTTTTGCTCTGGTTTTTGGTATTATTAGGCAAATACCTGGCAAAGCCCTCAGTGCTACATTTCCCACTGAGGGTCGTGCATCTGATGAGATGCTAAGCAACCCGCCTCTGACTCTCAAGCACAAGCCCTAACTGACATGGTGAGCCAATGCCCGGAGCATCCATGTGCAGACAACTCCTATTAAATTATTTTACTCCAAATGTTGCCTATGCAGTGAAAGAGGTACTCTCACCACTGCATTTTAGAGAGAAATTCGACAGAACTCTGAAAGGTCAGATTCTTTAATCTAGTTATTCCACTTCTGGGAATTTATCCAAAAGAAAGGCTATAAAATTCAGATGAAGGTGTTCACAGCTCATTTTCCACAATAGTTAAGAACAGAAGCTGCTTGAAGGTCCCAACTTCAGGAACCAGCTTGTTTGCATATTTATGTTTTGTCACTCATTTATTCATTCAAGTAAGTGTTCTGAGCACTGGGAATACAAAAGGGAACAAAAACAAAGCACTCTGCGGTGCTCACCTTTAGAGGTAACCATGGCAAGCCTACTAACCAACTATGAGGTAGAAGGATCACCGGAGCCCAGCAGGTCGAGGCTGTGGTGGCCGGGAGCAGCCACTGCACTCCAGTCTGGGCGACAGAGTGAGACTCCAACTCAAAACAAAAAGCAACCAGACAGGACCCACGGGCTCTCTGCTGAGAAGGACAAAGGCAGGATGCATTTAGAGCCCAATTGGGGCAGGCTGACCTGGCCTCAGGGACAGGAAAGGCCTCCCTGAAGACAGGACATTTAAGCAGAAAGCTGAAGAGCACGAGTTAACCAGGCAAGGGGGAAGGGGGACATCCAGGAAGAGGAAGGGCACCTACAAGAAGAGACCAAGGAAGTGAAAGGCGGCCCAGATGGCTGGAGCAGATGGCAGGAGCCAGAGCACCACACAGACCATGGCAGGGGGGGCGAGGCTCAGAGGTGGCAGGACTGACCATGGAAGGCCCCTGTTCTCCTAAGAGCAAAGTGAAGCCTTAAAGGGTCACAGTCAGGTGAGCATTTTAAAAATATCTTGTTGGCTTCGATGTTGAGAGCTGAGTAGAGTACACGACATCCGCAGGAAGTTATATTAGGTCACTATGAAGCAAAAGGCTTGTGGTTAATTTGAGTCACAAAGGAATATAAGTATAATGTGATTAGCTTTTAAAAGCATACACAAAATTGCATTTAAACTCAATTTTATAAAATATATGTGCTGAAAAAAAGGCTGGAAGGAAATACATTAAAATATCAATGGTGGTTATCTTTGGATAATGAGATTATAAATGATTTTTATCCATAGTTTTCCAAACTTCCGAAATTTTATATATAACAAGTTTGTGCATCATTTGTTATGAAAGAAAAAAGTAATATAACCTCAAAGTTTTTATCTGTATTTTACAAACCAAAAGCCTCATGCAAAAAAATCTCTTCCATAGTTATCATATAATTTATACAATAAAATATTAATAGAATGCATGACAACAGGAATATAGCCTAGATCTGTTGATTAAGTATTCAGAATATTTACCTGTAACTAGAGTAACATTAAGCTGAACCCCTTCCCAACAGACCTGGAAATATTAGGAAGATAATTAGTTAGGGTCTACAAATCAACCTGAGTTGAGACACAGAATGATCTTGAGATTTAATTCTATTACAGATTTGCCAAAAGAATGAGTATTTTTACAATTTCATCAATAAATTCGGTTCACATTTACAAGAATAAAGGACTGTGAGGCTACAAATTAATGAAGCATACCTCATGATATAATGATATAATTTAGTGAGAGTAAAACATGTGCCAGACACTCTGCATACATTTATCATTTATGCTTACCACTAAACTAAGATTCTATTAGATAATCTTAAAATAGTGTAATAGATGCCAGAAGCAAAGTAACATGCATCAAGTTACCATAGAGTATAAGCATCAGAGCAGGAGCTATGTCTGTCTTATTCTTTGTCATATCACTAGAGCCCAGAACATAACAGGTGCTCAATTTGTTGAGCTGAACTCATGGAGAAGAGTCTAGAGCCTACTCCGGTCTGTTTGATTCTAAAGCTTATGCTGTACTCAAGAACACCCCCATTTTCCCTCTTCCAGAAATGGAGAAACCATCAGCAACTGGCATTCTCTTTGTCTTTCCTTCTAACTGGGAAAAATGTTTTCTACCTCTGGTGAATAGTTTGTTCATCGACTTCAGCAAGTGCATATCACTACCAAAGACAGACAACCACCAGAAGGTGTGAAGAAACACACTGGTTCACAGTGGGGGGGTCAACCAATCCAATGTACTCGGAGGACAGTTTTTAACGTTGATTAGAGATTTAAACACTTGCATCTTTTAACACGGCAATTTCAATTCTAACAACTTATCTCACAGGATGTTTTAAAGACGTATAGAGAGACATGTACGCCAAAATATTAATCACTGCATTGTCCATCTCAGCAAAAACTGGCTACTTAAACTATAATAGACCTACATAACAGCAAACAAAACTATTTTAGATATGTACTAAAAATGAAACATTTTCAAGGGGTAGTAAGTTTTTTTTTTTAAGTTGAAAACAGTACTTTTGGCATTTCTTACTTTAGAAAAATAACAAAATTAATGCATGTTAGTATGTCATGAGAAAGTTATGGAGGCATATGAACCAAAATATCAACAGTGGTTCCCTCTAGGAACGACAACTATGGATTACTTTAACTCTATGTCATCTGGAATGTGCAAAACATCTACCCCATGCTTGTGTTACTTATGAAAGTAGGGAGGAAATAAAGATTTTCTTTTAATTATAATATGTGCAGATATAAAAACCTAAACATTCACTAAGACCTTGTTTATACTTCTTTTCATGAAGGTTATGCATATGTCTGCTTTAAGCAAAATACTCTGGCCCCATTAAGCCAACTGGTGCTCAGTTCTGAAAGTACGTGTCTCTGCCACACACTGCAAACTCGGCCAACACATTAAGGCTGCAACGGAGAGGTGAATTCTACGGTCAAATCAAGGGGTCCATGTTTTTTACAAGTAAGTTGATAAACAGAATCCAGACAAACAAACACGCTGATCGTTCTTGAGCTCCGTGGGGGTCCCTCATGTTCAGCCTCTGGCTGGAGTTATACAGGACAAAGCATCTTACCTGCTGGACTTCATTGGTTGCTCGTATGGTGTCTGCTGAATGGCGTATTCCTGGTACCCTCTGCGAGGTACCAGGTCTGCCGAGGTGGTCTCGGGATTGGTAGCTCCTGTTTCAGGGGGTCCAGCCTCCACTGGAACAATCTTGGTAGCACCTGAGATTGACACACAGGGCGCTGCTTATTGAGAGGCGCTGAAAGGGAACACTGGCCCCATCTCAAAAGAGGGAGCAGTGCTTGGAAGTATATTTCTTTACTGTATGATGCCTATGCAAGATACTAGTTTTCCTTCAGTTCACATCGTTAACTTCTCTCTCTCTCTCTCCCCTGCCCTGTATGCATGTATGCATGCGTGTGTGCGTGTGTGTGTGTGTGTGTGTGTATGTGTGTGTGTTTGAGGGTAGAGGGTAAGTTTTCCACAAATCTGTCTAAATGTCCTCTTGAAGTACATTTTCACTTGGTCTACTTATTTAAAAAACAAACACACACACACACACACACACACACACACACACACATATATATATATACATATGCATATATATATACATATATGTGTATGTTACTTGTAAGGTTTTATATAGGACCACATGTGTTAAACTTGAAGAATATTTAAAGCTGCATCAAGATAGTATAGAGTACTAGAATAGACTGTAAACAGAAATTTAAGCTACCTGGAGTTCAATCCCAAATATGACATTATCTTAGTAACTCTGAGTCTCTGTTTCTACCCTATGAAATTAAAGATTGGGGGTTAAAAATCTCAAGGGTTACCTTTACTTCTGCAATTCTATAATGTGGAGTGACCGAAGATCTTTTATAGCAGCGGACACTTCATATGCGTATATATGTATGTACTCTGTGTGTGTGTGTGTGTGTGTGTGTGTGTGTGTGTGTGTGTGTGTGTGTATCAAACATTAAAGGTTCCAATCTACCTCTTGTTTCTGGAATAGCTAAGGGAATTAATTACACTTTTCACTCTCACAGAAATCTCAAAATACTATCACTAACTTTTGAAAAAAATGGAAACTTTCTCTAGTTACCACCAAAAACAGAAAATTCTCTTTTGGTATTTTTATTTTCCAGAATAATACTGTTCTGAAGTGAGTGGGGTAGACAAATTGACTTTACAGAAAGTTCTTCTAGTCACATAATTTCATATGGGCTATTCTCTACTGATCACCTTGTTCTGCAGGGAAGTATAGAAAATGAATTTATTAAGAGTTTTCATTTTAAATAATGAGCTATTATCAACACTGAAAATAGGCACTTAAAAGGCTATAACTCTCATTAAAATGTTAAATTTCATTTTTAATTTTAATTTTATTTGACAGCTATCACCTCAAATGGACAGAAAACATTATGCTTTGAAATCTACTATCATAAACTACTTTTTTTCTAAAGTGTCCCAACCTAGAGGAGACCTTTTTAAAAAAACAGATTGTGTAACATACCCACCAGCTATGGAATACTATTCAGTTGTCAGAAAGAATGAAATAATGTCTTCTCAGCAACTTGGATGAAAGTGGAGAACATCATCCTAAGTGAACTAACTCAGGAGTAGAAAACCAAACACTGCATGTTCTCACTTGTAAGTTGGAGCTAAACTAAGGATCTGCAAAGACATAGAGAATGATATAATGGACTCTGGAGACTCGAGGGGGGAAAAATAGCCCATTGTGTACAATGTACACTGGTGGGGGTATGGGCCCCCTCTTAAAGCCCAGACCAAAGACTATTTATATCCCCCAAAGCTACTGAAATAAAAATAAAATAATAAAATGGAAAAGCTTAAACAAATTTTGATGTCATGAAAACATTCAATAAACGAGACCTCTCAAAGGAAAACGGAGATGGAAAGTTCTAGTGTTATAAAATATGAGGTGAACCCCATTAAAAATACAAAAGAGAAGTTAGGTGGAGTTAGCACGGGTTTTGGAAAAGCAGCCTGCCTCAGCCTGGGTGAATGGCCGGCCTCACCTGCAGCACAGCACTGCTGAGAGCTTCCTGGGGCAGCAGCTACTCAAACAAGAATGCAGGACCTGGCTGTGGCAGTCACAGCAGCCCTGGCTACTTTTCCTCTACCCATTTCCCACAACAGCCCCGGGCATAAGTCAGTCTGTCATCATCCCAAATCGATGGGTAATTAAACGGAGAGCCCCATCGGCATGAACTACTCAAGGTCACAGGGTCAAGCCCATATTCTGACTCGGACTATGACATCAGGCTGCCCTGGATGCAGACTCCCCCCAAAGGGTCTTGATTTGTCATTCCCCACTTGGTACGGTCACCTGGGATAGCTTCGTGTGCCGTTAAAACCACACTGATGATGGGTTTCTTCACCCCGGAAAGCTGCCCGGCCTCCTTTCCTGAGGAGATCTTCTGGACTTTCTCTGTCTTCTGTGTCCGGGGTCTTTTCGGGACCTTTTCTCGATCATCTTCCTTACACTTCTTTTCTAGTTCAAGGTCAGACTCGTTACCTAAGGAGCAAATACCAAGAGGCCTAAAGTATATTTTTATATCAGTGACAGAACTGGAGAGCAAACATTACTCGTTTATGGCCAGTAATGGAAATAGAGCTCTTTGTTCCACGGTGCCACAAGGCCACTGAGTCACTGTGGGCACCACTGTGGCCTTTCAGTCCTTCACTTGGTTCAATATGTCTTCACTGCTCCCTGCCACAGGCCATCAACTGAGCCCCAGGATTACAATGCTGTAAGAGCAAACACAGTCCCTTGTCTTGTTTTCAGGAAACCTCGCAGACTTCAGAATCATTAATAACACTGCAGAGAAGATAAGGTATCCTTGATTTATGGTCTAAGAAAGAAAACATTCCCTTATTCAACTTGCACTTATCGGCTACCTCCTGTGTGCCAGGAGTGGTGGAGAGAAAGAGTGATAAGGTGCAGACCCTGCCCTGGAGGGCCCTGCAGTCCAGGGAAGAGTCAGACATGCAAACAAACACGAGCAAACTTGGCAGTCTGCTGTGTGCTGAATGGAATGAGAAAGGGCTTGAGACGATTACAGGACAGGATGATAGATTCTATGCTTTCAGAGAGTTAAACCTTCAGCTAAATATAAAAAGGGTGGAGCAATGGTCCGGGGATACGGACAGCAGGTGATATAGGCAAGGGGTTTGGGGCTAGGAGTGGGCAAAGTGAAAACGGTGGTGCCCCAGCCTGACAAAGGATGGCAGAGACGAGATATAAATCATCTTGTGTGGCCACGACTTCCTGAGGAAGCAGGGAGGCAGAAATAAAATCAGTGGAGAACGTCAGAGCAAGGTCCCAGAGGGCCTTGAATGCCCACAAGAAGTCTGGAACCTTCCTTCAGTGAGTGCTGGGGGTGAAACGCCAAGGATCATGGAGACCAGTCAAGCAGTGTGAGTGGAAGAAGCTGCCCAGGGATTTGAGCTCTCTTGCCGAGGATTGGCCTCCCCGGCCAAGAGACAGAGCCACGTCTTCTAATGGCTCCAAGGGAGATTTCTTACATGAAACCTTCTGATTTTTCAAGGCTGACTTGTCTGAAATTTCTTAAAACAATGGAGGAGTGAAAGGAAACATGCCGGGGGGGTCCCCTGTCTGACCTGTGGGTCCCCACTGCTGCCTCTGGAAGACCAAGGAAAGCCACTGACATGTCTAAGATGGGAAAGCCTGCACTAAATCTGTCCCACTGCTACAGAGAGTGGACCGAATGGGTTCAAAGTGTTCAAATACGCTGAAGAATGAATATGTCAACCACAGACAGGACAACAGCTAACTCCACATGGCTAGACTTGGCAGTAGCCTGAGGGATAAGAAAAGCTTTGATATCAAAGCAAAGAACAAAAGAGTCATCGCTTGAACACACACTATTTGAGATTCCTACATGAGCAGGAAATAGGGAAGAAGTTTTCTTTTTCTTAGAACCATAGCCACAAAACCCGAAATGACCTGCCCAAAAATCGCTTCCTCAGAACATATGACAGGAGCACAAGGAACAACTCCATAACCCTTTATCAGCCATGAGTGAGGGGGCAGACAAATGGATGTGGGATGTGCAGACAGGCAGGTTCAGGCTCGAGGTGGAGAGCTGGAAAGCACTGGAATGTGGGGTTATCGGGGAGGTGGAATCAGAGCCACACAGGAATAAGGCAGAAATGGAAGAAGCCAGAGGCAGACAGCCAGAAGCAATTCGGTCAGTCTGTTTCCTGTGATTCAACTCTGCCTAAGGCCAGTCCCCCAGTAAATATACCAAGAAATGCCTTAAGGGGAAAGATAAAATGAAGAAGTATTCTCTCTTAGGGAGGCATGCTAGTTAAAGGAAAGCTCTCTCAACAAGAGGCAAGAAAAACACTTGTCTGATGAGGCAGATTAATCAAAACAAACACTCTGTTTATCTATGTTCTATAAATTAAAGTGTTTTTTGGTGCTTGTCCCATAATCCAGGTGCTTAGATCATGTTCAGACCTAGTGGAAAGAGTCTTATGAAAAGTTTTTTTAATTGACTGGAAAAGGTTCTTAATTATATAATTAGTATCAGCATTCAAAACATTAACATCAAAATGAAAATAATGAGTAGATGAGATGATGAATCAGACAGAACTGCACATCACTCTCCAAGGCCAAAGGGAAAACATTAAGGACCAGCACACCATCACACATGTCCATGCCTTGAAGAACAAGACGACCCTCATAAAGCCAAAGAATGGGGTCAGACAAGTGGCCTCCAGGGTTGCTGGCAGTGCCTACATTTTGCAGACTTGATTTGCATCATGCCTAACAGCAGTTTTGGTTTTATTTTACTTTTTTTACTGCCGGTAATAAAAACACTTCCAAAAGGTCTACAAATTGCCTGAGTCACAGAAGTTCTTTTTGTGGCCTACATACTGGGTGATACAGATGCATAAATAACTATAGCAGAATATATTGGATGCTATAAAAAGGAAGAAACAACATATTACGGAATTTTTTGCTTTTAAAATGATGCTTCACTTTATACTAGAATTCACCATGGGATACAATTCAATATGTGGGTGATATGCCAAGAAGAGATATACTCACATTAAAAAAAGAAAAAAAGACCTGAGAATTAGAGTTTGCTAGAAGCTCAATCCAGGTTAACGGCATGAATCAACAAAAACCAAACAAACACACACGCAACGTTCGCCTGCATTGATAAGAAGCAGCTGAAAAGTCACCACACTCTGCCCTGGATAAGCTGTCTCTAGATGCTTTAGGCATTGAATGCTAAGAACATACTGCAGAACTGGGTGTCTAAGGATGATGATGGGCTGGGTGAGGGTTTGGAGCCACATCAGATTAAAAACCAATAAAGAGACCTGAGTCGGCCTCAGTGAAGAAGACAAGATTGGACAAGAAACTCATCTCTCCCCCGATCATTCCAAAGGCTCCTCTTTGAGATTCCTTCCATTTGGCTGCTCTGGGATACACACAATAGGTATCCAGCCTACCCATTCCTGATGCCCAACACTCCTCACAGGCAATGCCACCTCTGCTACAAGAACCAAGAATGGTGCTCCAGTCATCCTAACAGCTAGGGCTATAAGACCCCAGCTTAGTCAATGGGGTCAGGGAGAAGGGTGCCAGGGGCTTCTAGGAATGGTTTTCCTCCCTCATGAGTATTGCTATGTCCACTGCCTGGGACTGAGGCAACCACCCAGCAACTATGAGAGTCCAAGTGAAAGACCATGTTAAATAATGCCTTGAGGATCATAAAGAGAGAGATGGATTCTGTGGCTTTAATGGGACAGATGTGCTCCTGAAACAGCCCTGGAAGCACTGACACCTGGGCATCTTGCTACATGAAACAGAACATTCTCATTGTTAAACACATATTTAACTGATGCCGCTACTAACATTATCTTGACTAGCACACCCTCCAAACCACCCTTCACCTCAACCCTAGAGTGAATCATTTTAAAATCCAAATCTGATGCTGTCGTTCACCTGCTTAAAGTCCTTCAATGGCTTTCCTCCCATCTCCATTAGGAGAAAGTGCCAGATAAAGCCCTCCAAGATTTGCCATAAATCCTCTCCTGCTATCACTGCGCTGTCAAGGTCATGACTTCCAAGCACGCGCCCTCATGTACTTGCCTCCTTTGGGTTCTGACAATGCTGAACCACAACACTGACCAGACACCTCATGCTGTTCACTGCCCCTGGACCTGCACACTGGCCCACGTACTACGTGATGCCCTGATCCATATGCACCTGCATGTCCAAAGGCAGCCCAGACTTCCCCTCCTCTATGATATTCTCTGTGTCCATCACCCTTGTAGCTCTTCCATTCTCTACACACACACACACACACACACACACACACACGACACACACACACAGCACCATATCAATGGCTGGACTTCCCACACTGCTCACAATTACCTTTTTATATGCCTCATCCTCTTGGAAGTGGGGTCCATGTCTTCGTGTTACTTTATCAAGCCTAACATAGGCTTGAACAGATGAAGGGCCAGAGTCAGACAATAAAGATCTGCTCTGCTGTGCTTAAAAAGACAAGGCTAGGATGAACGGGTAGAAGTTCTCAGCAATGGATCTCAGCTCAGAGAAAGAAATTTCCCAGAGTTAAAGCTGTCCAACGTGGGGAGGGGTGTTTTTAGAGACGCATTTCTGAGGAGGGTTTTCCAGGAAGTCTCAGCTACCATTTGTGATGCTGTGGAAGAGACTGAACCACATGGCAAGTCAGACTGAGCAACTTCTGTCTCTCTAAATTCTGAGGCCCTCACACACAGAGAGGCGGAGTTATTACATAAGGAAGCCGGCAGGAGAAAGGAGGTGGCAGGGCGAAAACAGAGGGAGTGAGAAATGGGAGAGACGCTGAAAGAAAAGGCTGAGAGACAGTGCAGGGGGCAGAACCCATGCGCCTTCAGCCAACTGTACAGCCAGCCACCCACCCCGAGTCTATGCTGCATGCAGGTGGGGGGCCTCCCTGCAGCAAAGGGCAGTGGGGCTTCCATTGTATCCTCACAGCCCACGCATGACTTGAGCAGCAGCTAAGGCAGAGCCAGCGCACTGGACACTACCTAGGCGGGCAACCCTGGAAGTCACTGTGGCAGAGAGTCAGACTCCCAATAGCTACAGCAGGGGCTCCTATAACAAGCCCTTGGTTTTCCCCTCCCTGTCTCGCTCTTCCCACTTCCTCACTCTTGCTTCCTAGGACCACCACCCAGGTGAACTGCCCACAGCCAAGTTAAGACACCCTCCCCGCAAGACTGCCCCAGGTGCACACCTCTAAGCCCCTATCTTTCATCAATTCTCTGTGGCCCTATGCAATGTGAATCCACAGCCCACGTGAGCTATGTACTATCCTTCAGAAGCTCCATTACTAAGTTCACTCAATGATTCAGGCACCACGTGCCAGGCACTGTACTGAACTGCTTTGGAAATAAACTGAACCCATTCCGAGGCATGGAACACTGCTGAAAAAACAGGGTTTCTACAGAGAAAGAGCGTACTACCTG